GTGAGAACAAGGTTTGCTGCATGCAATATATTTTGAAAGGAGATTTTGGTTTTCTTCAAGTTTTTGTTATGGAAGCTGCTGCTGTTGAGCACCAGCCCTGCTGAAATCCTCACCCTGAGGACTCGTGGGAGAAACACAAACCTAACCAGGCATTGTCCAGCTCTCTGGTTCTACTACAGTGCTCAGAAGTTCCCAAAAGTGGTGGTCTACAGCAGCAAGAATAACAAAAACCTGAGAAAATAGTCCCTCTAGATAGTCAAAGTAGTGCATAGCAGTGTCCCTTAATAGCATGATACAAGACCCCTCACTGGAGCAGACATTGTCTCTAGGAGCTGCAGTGATGCAGGGGAATGCCAGAGAAGGGTCTTTGTCAGAGTCTGGGCCATTGCTAGGATTTAGCTTTCATTTGCTCCAGGCTCAAAGTCCAGCTTGTGAGCCTGTGCAGCAAGTCACTCTGTAGCCAGAGGATGTGTGCTGCCCACTTGGAACGTCCGGATTTGTCCTTTATACTTACGGGGAAAAAAAACCAAACATTTTTTCTTTTGCTGCAAAAACCTTTGGATGGTGGTATTTTCTGAAAGATTGCAAATGGTCTGAAACCAAAATAGAAATTGCCTGCTACAAGTGTTAACTCCCCGAGCTGTATGTGCTCTGAAGGGTCCAAAGGAGGAGGACTTTGCTCTATCTGCTTTGCCCACTTCATACAGATGCTTTGACACTTTATACAGATGACGTGGGGAGGGAAGGCTGTGAGATTCTGACAGCCAACTGCCACTAGCAAAACAGTGGGGTGAAGGGCTAACTGCCTTCCAGTTGTATTTCTGATGGAACTGGCAAGAGGGTTCAGTAAAAGAGGACCTCACCCAGAACTGTGTGGAGTATTTTCATCAGGCAGGAAGAACTCAGCAGGGAAGAGATGGTAACACAAGAGAAAATGGATATGAAAGCTGTTTATAATTCTTGCTAGACAGTAAGATTCTTGGGTTTTTAAAAGGAGTTGTGGTGCAAAAGATCCAACTGCTTCTACAATGCAACATGAACAATTTAGTAACAACAACAACAACAAAAAACAACAAACAAAAACTACTGTGAGATTCCAGCAGGTCTCCTCCAGTCCTATGGTTTATTTCTGTCAACAATAAGTTATCCCTTATTTCATTCTAATCAGCTATAAACTCACATTACAATTTACAAAGATACTCCATATTTCTTGAAAGTATGTTTGTGATCCAAAATTCCTACTAGGTGATGTGCTTGGAGGAAGTTAGTAGGTGAGGAGTGAGTTTCCCCTTGCAAACACCTGATGCTGTTACTCTTGGGCATCTCCCACCACCCAGCACTGCTGGTGCAGTCTGGTCCTTTTGGGTGACAATGTGATTCTGACTGGTGGGATCCTAGAAGGTAAACCAGTGAGATTTTCATAAACAATTTTTAAAAAAGAACTTACAGAAGCAGATCTAAAGTTTCTGTTGAGGATTAAAATGAGTGTGGGGTTTGCTTGCAGCTAGCATTTAGTGCTTGACCACACCAGGCTCTGGTTTTGCTTTTTGCTCAGCAGAAGTTTCTGAGATACCTGAACTTTAGGCTGTCCTGAACTATTGCTGAACTCCAGTGAAACTGTGATCTGGAAAAGTGTTGAGGAGTGATTAATAGAGTGACAAAGCACTGCAACAAGTCCCCACCCACAGTAAGACATTACCACAGAACAGAAGAGGACCAACTGAAACCAGAATTTGAGGAGTAAGAATTCCAGGCGCAGATAATGAAGAAAGGGCCTCTTTTACTTGGAAACAGCAGAAGACTGGTGAATTCCAGGCATAGATGGAGAAAAGACATGAGATATAAGACCTGTCACCTCTGGGGGAGGATGTACCTTAGATGGACCTGTTTGATATCAGACCATAGCAGGCCATAAAGGGCACAGATCCAATACTGGGGGTCCTGCCTCTCTCTGGAAGCACCAACTTGAGCTGCAATAAACTGACAGTTGCAGTGCAGAGTGGCTGTACTCTTCCCAGTGGGGGCTGAGGCTGGCTCCAACCTCACCCAGGCTGTTCTCTGGGAAGGAGTTCAGAAGCAAGGGGGTCCACACCTCGGCAAGAGGGTCTACCCAGAGTCTCCTCCAACAGTTTTTAAAGCTGTGTGACTTCTGTGTCATGAAATTCGTGTTTAGTGGAGATTAGGGATGTCACGATCCGGTATTCGGGTACGTGGCAGTTTTAATAAATAAAGGTGATCCCAAATGGTGAAATTAAGACACAAATGAGGTCAGATGTCACGCACACAACAAACTTTTATTGCAATAACACAACAACATCCCTAGAGCGGATAGGACAGGCAGGAAAACAGAGACAGGAAGGAGAGGAGAAAGCAGAGAGCTAGAGGACAGCAAGCGAGAGCAAAGTTACCACCCACGGTCCAGAGATGTCGTTGATGTCGTCGAGGGGAAGTAGTTCCAGGTGGAGAAGTGCTTCCAGCACCCGCAGAGTCCCAGATTTTTATACAGTCCTTATCCACTGCACCCCCACTCCTCTCCCTGCATAGGGAAAAACCCTTCGGATCTTCTGTGTGATAGCAGGGGCAGGTATGATGCCAGGGGCTATGTAGTCTTTGTTTGGCTAATTGATGAGCTCAGCCATTACAAAGGACGAGGTTGAGTCAACTGCCACCACAGGATTAGTTCCTTGCTGTGGAGTTTCGGTCCTAGGAAGTAGCTTGAGACTGCCACTCCCTGTCTTGTCCTGCAAAGTCGCATCAGCAGATGTCGTTCAACTCTCAGATGCCACAAGACAGACAAAAGATATCCTGAGTGCCAAAGTCTAAGCTTATCTCTTGGATTGTTCGAGACAAGCACTGTACATCCTGAGTGCCACAAGGGGAAAACTCCCATTTGTTTTACTCCCATTGACTTAACTACAGACTGTGCTTCTGTAGAGAAGGGAGGCTTGGATTCATGAATTGGCTCCTCTAATAGTGCTGGGACATGTGGCACTTTGGACCTGGGTCTTGGCTGTTCTGCACCATTCCCTGGCAGCTGCTTGTGCTGGCAGAACCATCAGCCCCAGCCAGGTAACCCGGGGGCTCGAAGCCCACCCAGAGGTGGGAAGAGCTGTTGCGGCGGGGGCCAGCGGTGGGCGGTACGGGACAACACCGGGACAGGGATGGGGATGCAGCACGGAATGGGGCAGGGACAAGCAGAGGTGGCCGTAGGACAGGGATGCAGAGGAGCTTTGCCCACAGCTTGGCTTGGGGTCAGCCTGGAGCACTGGGGGGAAACACTGAGTAATTGGAATCATCACATGAATATATTAACGATGCATTAGCATACGGATTAATTAATTCACACCCACAGGCTAGAAGGACAGCTGCAAACAACAACCCTCCACTCTTGGAGCAGGCACAGTGACATTCCTGAGCACTGGCACTTGGGATGGAAGGGCTTAGTGACCCACTGTGTGTGCCAGTGATACAACAATGGTCAAGATCAAGGTCTCTCTCAGGTTTTTGGGTATAAAAGCAGGACTTGTGTTTCAGGGAGCTGAGCTTGCTGTGTGGAGCACCCCTCTGCTCCCTGCTCTGTGCAGAGCTGGGTATTAAAGCAGATCTCTGGGCTCTTTGTGTGAGAAGGAAGTGCTGGGAAGGAGAGAAAGCCCAGCCCAGCCAGCACATAGGGTGATGGCAGCAGCAAATTGAGGTAAGTGGGAATGTAGCACTAGAGGAAATCAAGGTGAGGGTCCAGCTCTGGTGAGGAGTGGTGGGTGAGGGAGCAGGTTGGGAGGATGCTGCTCTCAGCAGGAGGGTATAAGTATGTTGCAAGAAGAGAGTGTGTCTCTGTGGTGGTGACACGCTGTGGCGCTGTGGTTTGGGCTCACAGGGGAGACGAGCTCAGGCTGCTCTGAGAGCAACTCAGGAGCAACATGAAATCCTGTAATGGGTGGTTCCCCTTAGGTTTTAGTTCCAGAGGGAGGCTCCAGCACATGTCCCAGAGGCCATGTGGCCCTGTAAGAAAAGTGGAATGGAGAAAGTTACATTGCAAACTCGCCGCGCGGGTGGGTGACACGGGTGGGTGACACGGGTGGGTGACACGGGTGGGTGACACGGGTGGGTGACACGCCGCACACAGCGGTTTGCCAGGCCCCGCTACTCCCTCCCGGCTCGCTCTTCCCTCAGGGTCCCTGTCGGCGGTCCCATGTCCCACCACCATGTTCGGGGCTTTTTTTTAAACTAAAGGCTCTCACTCACAGAAGGAGTAACCCATGTATATAAAATACCAGCGCCGTGGCAAGGCTTCCAATTTTATTATTACGTTTAATGCCTCAGAAGAAGTAGGGAACAGAGATTCTGCTTGAAGTGGGATTTCTTTGAATTACCACGTTTTGATAATTTTATATTAAAAAATCCTCCAGACGTTTGGTTTTGCTTCAAAACCATGAGCACCCTGAAGTGATTGTGACTGAAATCAATAAGAATTTACCAAACTTGAGCCAAGAGCTCCAGCCAGAGTTTGAAAGGGGGGGTGCCCTTTTCAGAGTAGCAGTCATATTGATCTTTTGAGCAAGTGGTGTGTAAAGGTTTAATACCTGGTCCCTTCACCTACAGCTTGAGGACTTCATGCTTCTGCTGGTTCCCCTTTCAAATGCAGAGTGTAAGTGTGTACAGTTGGAACAGGTCTTGCTGAGAGCTGCTGGAGGATAGGTGTTGGTTTAGCCTGCATCATTTGTGACTGTGTCAACAGGCATCTGCTGAAGCAGTGTGAACTACTGATTGTTACTTAACGGAAGAGTTTATGGGGGTATTAGTAAAATCCTGGTTGAGTTCTGAAACCTGTGACTAAAATGGAGTTGAGGTTGTGCCCAACCTTTCTTCTCTGTGGAACAGACTTACCCTCCTCATGTGTTGGATTCACACACCTCCTGCTCTGTTGCAGTGAGGAGGCAATTTTACTTATTTCTGGCCTGACCTGTCATTCTTCTTGCTGTGTCCTCTTTTGTTCACTACAGAGATACAAGGGACAGTTCTACCGGGGCCACCGCCACGGAAAGGGCGTTTGCTACTGGTCTGATGGTTCGAAATTCACAGGAGCTCTTTATCTTGACCATGTGGAAGGCTATGGGACCTGGGAATGGATGGATGGCAGAAAATTTCAGGTAACTGGAAAAATGCTGAGCAAATACTACAATTTCCCTGCCTTTCAAAGCACTACAGTGTACAGGAAAATTTGTGGGTCTTTTGCAAGCAGCTTCTTGCAAAGTGTTTCGCTTCTTTAGAGCAAAATTGTTGTGCTTTGTTCTCCATTGATTTAGGGCACTCTTTTCAACAGCGTAGCTTCTGCTGCACTCATTTCTTGCATGGGGAAATATTGAAGATGATCACGGAATCATTTAGGTTAGAGAAGACCCTTAGTATCATTGAGTCCAACTGTTAAACTAACATTACCAAGTCTACCACTAATCGATATCCCTACACATCTTTTAAATGCCTCCAGGAACAGGGACTCCACCACTACCATGGGCAGTCTGTGCCAGGGCCTGACAGTGAAGAAACTGGGTGAAAAAACTCAGTAAAAAAATCTTAATATCCTATGTAAAACACCCCTGGTGCAACTTGAGGCCATTTCCTCTTGTTCTATCACTCGTTCCTTGGGAGCAGAGCCCGACCCCCCCTGGCTCCAACCTCCTCTCAGGCAGTTGCAGAGCCAGCAGGTCTCCCCTCAGCTTCCTTTTCTCCAGGCTGAACATCCCTGATTCCCTCAGCTTCTCCTCATCAGACTTGTGCTCCAGAGCCTTCCTCAGCTCTGTTGCCCTTCTCTGGACACACTCCAGCCCATCAATGTCCTTCTAGTTATGAAGGCCCAGACCTGACCCCAGGATTCAAGGTGCCCCATCTCCAGTGCCCAGCACAGGGGGATAATCCCTGCCCTGCTCCTGCTGGCCACACTAATGCTGACACAAACCAGGATGCTCATGGCCTTCTTGGCCACCTGGCTCATAATCATCACTCATTGACCAGCACTCCCAGGTCTTTTTCCACTGGGCACTTTCTAGACACTCTTCCCCATGCCTGGAGTGTTGCTTGGGGTTGTTGGAACCCGAGGACCTGGAGCAGCTCCATGGAGAAGGACCTTGGAGTCCTGGTAGACAACAACTTATCCATGGGACAACAATGTGCCCTTGTGGCCAGGAAGGCCAATGGTATCTTTGGGTGCATTAAGAAGAGTGTGTCCAGCAGATCAAGGGAGGTTCTCCTCCCCCTCTACTTGGCCCTGGTGAGACCTCACTTGGAGCCTTGTGTCCAGTTCTGAGCTCCCCAGTTCAAGAGAGACAGGGATCTGCTGGAGAGAGTCCAACAGAGGCTACGAGGATGATGAAGGGACTGGAACACCTGCCTTACGAGGGAAGGCTGAGAGACTTGGGGCTTTTCAGTCTAGAGAGGAGAAGACCAAGGGAGGATCTAATTAATGTCCATAAATACACGAGGGCTGGGGGTCAAGAAGGCAGGGACAACCTCTTGTCACTTGTGCCCCGTGATAGGATGAGGGGCCATGGATTCAAACTGAAGCATAGGAAGTTCCAGCTGAACATGAGGAAGAACTTCTTTCCTGTGAGGGTGACAGAGCCCTGGGACAGGCTCCCCAGAGAGGTTGTGGAGCCTTTCTGAGTGACCTGCCCTAGTTTTTGGTCCTGCTTGGGCAGGGGGTTGGACTCAGTGATCTCCAGAGGTCCCTTCCAACCCCTGACCTTCTGTGATTCTGTGATTCAGGCGGTCCTGCTGTGCTAAGAGGGAGTGGATCAGGGCAGAACCAGGTTAAATACAAACCAGGCTTTAATTGTACACACCTTGTTTGATCTCTGATACTAATGAGTTTCCTTGTTTCTTAAAGGGGCTGTACAAATGTGATGAGAGATTTGGACCAGGGATTGAGAGCTATCCAGATGGCTGCCAGGACGTTGGCTTGTGGCTCAGGGATTATCTCATTAAACTGTGTACTGAAGTACCCAATTTGTTTTCTCTCTCGGATTATCCAGTGCACCACAGATACATTGATGACAGTTCTCAAAAGAAGTATATTTCAGTTGAGGAAGACCCATTTCTCCGTAGCTACAAGCATCTCGCTTTTGATGATAAGGATATTTGCCCTGAAGGAGTCTTTGCATATTCTCATGACACAGATCATCTTACTTTGACTCGCTCCTTCCTGGAAGAGTGTGATGCCTGGTATTTTCAAAACACCCCAAAGATGCCTAAGGAAGACCCTTGGCCTGTTAAAAATGTAACCCCTCTGCTAGTTAGAATGCAGATGCATATTTACAAGCACAGGTAACTGTTGATTATTAGTTTATTGTGTATGGATTTTTAGAAATTACTATCTGTGTGTGTTCTTTGTTTGCAGATTCAAGTTGCAGGATAAAAGCTGCACTCCATACTGTTTTTCATGGCCTTGAGATTACAAATGGACAATGAGGATTTTTTTTTTTAAAAAAAGAAACACACAACATATTAATCTCTCGATTCACAAGTCTTATTCCTTTAAGTCATACATCGGTTTTTTCCTGGTCACACCTCTATAAATAGTCTAGTTCTGCACTCCCCAGTTCAAGAGGGACAGGTATCTACTGGAGAGAGTCCAATGGAGGCTATGAAGATGATGAAGGGACTGGAACACCTGCCTTATAAGGAGAGGCTGACAGAACTGGGGCTTGGGATCTAATTAATGTCTATAAATACATGAGGGCTGGGGGTCAAGAAGGCAGGGACAACCTCTTGTCACTTGTGCCCTGTGATAGGATGAGGGGCAATGGATTCAAACTGAAGCATAGGAAGTTCCAGCTAAACATGAGGAAGAACTTCTTTCCTGTGAGGGTGACAGAGCCCTGGGACAGGCTCCCCAGAGAGGTTGTGGAGTCTCCTTCTCTGGAGACTTTAAAAGATGACAAGGTCTGGATGCCTTTCTGAGTGACCTGCCTAGTTTTTGGTCCTGCTCTGGAAGGAGAGTTGGACTCAATGATCTTTGGAGGTCCCTTCCAACCCCTGTCATTCTGTGATTCTGTGATTCTTTCTGTGATAGCTGTTTGATGGCTAGTTATTTTTTAACTCTTGTGTAGCTAAGATCTGTGCAGCTGCCAGCACCCTGTACACCAGTACGCCACGAATGTCAGCAAACTCACACAACTGAAATAGTTCTTAAAATGACAGCTGGCCTTATTTTCCCATCTTGCTTACCAACATATTCTTGTGTGTTTTCTTTTATTGCTGTGGTGGTCCACGAGTACCCTGCTGCCTAAATCTGCTCCACTTTTCTCTCCTTTCCCAGGCGCTGTCAGGCAAAATTCACTCCTGATGTTCGCCGCATTCTCCGAGGAGCCCGTGGTACCTACGGCCCCCCAGGCCCCAGGGAACTTGCCGCAAAGCAGCTCATTGAGGCAGCAGCACGAGGAGACTGTGCTGCGGCCCTTGTGATCCTGAGGAATGGGCTTGTTCACCCAGACACAGCCGACAATCGGGGACACACAGCACTTGCTGTGGCCGCTGTAAGAGGCTCAGTGTGACTCTGCCACATGATGAGACAATTCCTGGTGCAGCAGGCTGGATTACATATTCCTCTGGTTTCAACGTGGTGTGAAGGGAATGTTCAGTACACCAGAGAAACAGAGAAGTGCTGTGAGCACTCTCTGTAATGACCAGTATTATGCCAAATCCCACTGTAAAGAAATAACCTGAATAATCCCTGAATCGGGAGGTTTAGGTTGGATATCAGGACCAGAGGGTGGAACAAGCTCCCCAGGGCAGTGGTCACAGCACCAAGCCTGCCTGAGTTCAAGAAGCGTTTGGATGATGCTCTCAGGCACATGGGGTGATTCTTGGGGTGCCCTACACAGGGACAGGAGTTGGACTTGATGATCCTGATGGGTCTCTTCCAGCCCAGCATCTTCTATGATCCTAAATCCTTCAGTAATCGCTAGTTTGTTTCAAATGCTAGGTTTGATTGCTGTTTCTGACTGCAGTAAACTAGTCTTCTGATGTGACTGCACTTTTTTTTTTTCACCTGTTTGAAATCAGGCTCTGAGGTGTGTTGTTGAGAAGTGGTGGTAGCTTCAGCTCATGCTGCAAAATGTCAGTAGCTGTGGGAGGGGGATGAGATCCCACCCTCTTGCCTTTTTCTTCACACCCTTTTCAGCCATCTCAATAGATGGCATTTGTTGTAAAGGGCTAGGAAAATCTAGGTGACCATTCAGAACACTGTGTTTCTCTTGTAACCTTCTCAGTCACCTTTAGTCTCTTTCTTATCACTGTATTTCCGTGACACTTAATAGTTAGAAATTAGCTGAAAAATGGATGTTCTGAACCTTGTGAGACATGATTCAGTTTTGTGTTTCTGTTTTGTGGGAAATAAAATTTAGACTAGCTAAATGTGCAGAGCATCTCTACTTTAGAATGGTGGTGTCAATTCTTTCCACCTCCAAAGCTGAAGTATGTACATGTATATGCAATTATGGATGTTTCCCTCTACAGGTTCATTCCCACAACGATGTTGTCAATCTTCTTCTTGATAGTGGAGCTGATGTGAATAAGTGTAATGATGAAGGATTATCTGCTCTCTCCATGTGCTTTATTCTTTTTTATCCAGAAGAATCTTTCAAGGGTAATATTGCCGAGAGGAGCTTGCACAGTTACAAGGTTTGTCTACTTCATGTCTAAAATGACAGAATCATAATGTATTATTTCCTCAAGCCATAATCTTGCCTTTTAAATTTACTTTAATATCTTCATTAATGATATTGACAGTGGTACTGAGAACACCATCAGCAAGTTTGCTGATGGCACCAAACTGGACGGTGCAGTTGATACGCCAGTGGGATGGGATACCATCCAGAGAGACCTGGACAAGCTGGAGAAGTGGGCCCAGGTGAACCTCATGAGGTTCAACAAGGTCCTGCACCTGGGCTGAGGCAACCAGAGATACAAATACAGGCTGGGGGAGGACACACTTGAGAGTAGCCCTGTGGAAAAAGACTTGGGGGTACTAGTGGACCAAAAGCTGGACATGAGCCACCAATGTGCAATTGCAGCCCAGAGGGTCAACTGCATCCTGGGCTGTATCACAAGAAGTGTGGCCAGCAGATGGAGAGAGGTGGTTCTGCCCCTCTACTCTGCCCTGGCAAGACCTCACCTGGAGCACTGTGTCCAGCTCTGGAGCCCCCAATACAAGAAAGATGTGGACCTGTTGGAGTATGTCCAGAGGAGGGCCATGAAAATGACCTGAGGGCTGGAGCACAGCTTGAAGAAAAGAAGGATCCAGGGAGACTTTAGAGCACCTTCTAGTGCTTCAAGGGGCTGCAGGAAAGCTGGGAGGGGCTTGTTACAAGGGCTTGTAGTGAGAGGACAAGGGTTAATGGTTCTAAACTGAAAGAGGAGAGATTTAGGTTAGATATCAGGAGGAAATTCTTCAGTATGAGGGTAGTGAGACACTGGAACAGGTTGCCCAGAGAAATTGTGGAAACTCCATCCCTGGAAGCATTCAAGGGCAGGTTGGACGGAGCTCTGAGCAGCCTGGTCTAGTGGGAGGTGTCCCTGCCCATGCAGGGGGATTGGGACTTGATGATCTGTAATGTCCCTTCTCTGTAATGTCCCAACTCTAACCATTCTATGATACTGTGTGTACTCCTGGGGAGAAAGTCAGAACTTCTCTGCATCTTGCACCCTGAGGGTGCAGGAGGATCTCTGCTTTCACTGCTGACTCCTGTGGAGGACCAGGCTCTGGCACAGCTGGGGCTCTGCAGTTGCGGTCGGGCGCTGGGTTAGCAGCAGGGCCATGAGGTAGTGCTGAGTGGGTGTTTGATACTTGGAGGGTGCACTGGGGCAGTTGGTGGGAATTACAAATGCCTAAGTAGAACAAGAGGATGTGGGTGATTGTCCTGCTGCCATGGTGGGTGGGGAAGAGCACTTATACTGTCAGAGTCTGCTGGTCACTGGGATTGCTCAGACAGGAGGAGTCCGGTCCCTGACAGAGGGAAATGCTCCAAACTGAGTTGACACCTTTTGTAAGAGTGCAGACCTGGGAATGGGAAAGAAAATGAAAGCAAGGATGTTGGGAATTGCTAACCAGGATGAGAAAACAGGATTAAAAAGGTGTCTGGGCAGGAGCTGTATCTTTGAGATGTTTCAATGGAGTCTGGAAATGGAAAGGTGCTGCTGAGACCTTCACATGAGGCTGGGCAGGTTGGGGGCCATGCCTTGAGGAAACTTCTTGGAAATGAAGTACCAAACAATCCTTGGCTCCTCTAAAGCTGCTGTTGCAGTTCCAAGAGTATGTTCAAGTGGCCCATTGCTGAGGCTGCAAGACTTGTATGGGGAAGGAAGAAGGGGATTGGGAGGTAGCAGCTGCTTAAACTGCATGGGAAATCAATGTGGAGCTGTTACGCCTCATTTTGGAGGTAATTAGGATTAGAGAGGGGATCTTTCTGCACTGGTTTGTGTCTGTCAGTCTTTGAGATTCTGCAGGGGCTGATTCTGTACATTGCTTCCACTTCTCCTCTTAGTCTCATATGCATCCAGATTTGAAAACATCTTGTAGATCCTAGTTCTGAATTCTCTTGCAAACTAATGCAGGCTGAAAATCTGTGTCTTATTTTATTTCAGCAATATTTTTTTCTTTTAAGCTAGATGATGTATACTGGCAGAAACTTGTAACTCTTCTAAACACGTTTTAGACACCCTGGAAATTGAACAAGAAAAATATTCCATTATTTTAAAAGATTAAAAAAATAAAAATCCAACAACTTAGTTACAGATTAGTTCTAAATGATTTCTCTAACAGTTGTTAACAAAATACCATTATATGCTGTAATGTGTTATGGTTCTGATGTGCAAATATGCTGAATCAGGCAAGGGAAGATTTTTTTCATTTTTGTAACTGTGGGAAACTGTTCTGCCCCCCAATATTGGCTTGTGACAGTAACCTCTTTCTTTTTCTAAATTTTTAAGGAGAATGAACAATCAGAATCCTCAGAAGTAGTCAGTGTGGCTGAAGGCAGAACCTCAGAGTAAGTCTCATGAAATATAGATGGGAGACCAGCACTCATAAACCCTTTTGTATAAAAAAAGTAACAGTATTTCATGTATGGACTGTGCAGGGAAAGATATTTTTGTTTGCTTAACTGGGCAAATCTTGTGTTCATGCCAGTAGAAGCCACTCATTGTTTATACACTTCTATGGTACTCATGTCAGCAGTGGGCAAAGATTGCAGATGGAAAATGGAGTTCCAGAAAGGGATGTCATGCCGTAACAAAAGGATATTTCTTGTTAGCCAAGTATGGAAACCCCCTGCTTGTGCAATGGGCACTTACAGTGAAGTGTAGGTGTGAGGAAGGAGAATATATTAGCTTTATTTCCTGAAGTTTTGACTACATATGAACTTGCTACTTGTTTTCTGCCAGTGTCTGGTCAGCAGTGCCAACTGAAATGTAGTGCTACTCCTTTGCCTTTCTGGGTCTTGAAAGGGCCACATTTTGCTTTTTGGTTTTCTTACAGAGCAGTCACCAAAGGTGATGAAATTTATGTGTTGGGTTTTGTGGCATTGGAGGTAATTTTGATATCTTAGAACTCCCAAACTGAAAATTCCTGGTTGGCCTTATGGTCTTCATCTTTCACATTTTACTTTTGTGGCACATCCTCCCACCTTGTTGTCTGCAATACTGTCCATATTGTGTGTTCACTGGAATACAAAGATCCACTCTATGTGGGCTATGTGGGTAAAGCTGAGTTAATACCATGCCTGAAAAGATGAGTCTCTGCTGGGAACACTTTGTGGTAGAGTTTCTGGGTGATTTCCAAGTGTGGTTTTCCTTGTTTTTAATTTTTTTTGTGTGATGTCAGATATTTTTTTTGGGGTGCATGTGGATTGTTTGTCTCTGTGGAAATGCAGATGGCACCTGGACTATGCTTTCCTAAGCTGGCATAGCTCCTGCTCCAGTTTTTGTTTAAGGGAAACACTGTACCTTTGTTTTCTTGGGATGGATAGATGAGGTATGACTGAAGAAATAACTTACCAAGGAGTTTTCGATGGTGGGAATGAGCAGTCTGCTTCTTTCATTAAACAAGTTAATGTTTACAGGTCACATGTGGTTGACTGGTGGAGATGCAGAGAACCTTGCCTAGGTTTGCTCTCTGTTCCCACACAAGGAACACAGGGACAGCTTTTGCCTGGCATTCCTTTGGTGTGGAGGGCTGAGATCTGCTAGCCTTGCTGTCTCTGCTCAGGTCACCGTGGTGCTACCTGGGTGGTGCTGGGCCACTGTGACATGGCCCTACATGCTGCCACCTCTTCCCTCTGTGGAGTGGCACCTTTCATCTTTGCTCCCTGGGAGTCATTCCTGTCCACCAGCTTTTACTGTTTTCTTGGAAGGTGCTAATAAATTATTCTGATATTTTCCATGTCGATTCTAGACTACAGAAGAGATGGGAAACAATCCAACTGCTGCTTCGTCGAGGTGCAGATCCCAATACACCCTGGGTCCCACCACACCTTCTCTTCTTCGCTGTTAAAGCTGCAGATGCAGAAGCAGTGAAACTCCTCTTAGCAAGGGGAGCCAGGACTGATGTGCGGCTTTCATCTAAGGTTTTACTGGATTAGAATTAATAGTGTGAGATTCTATATGTGTATTGCATCTTCAGCACCCTACTGTGAAATATTCTGCTTGGCAGAATAAGTTTTGGAATGGCCAGAAAGCTGATTAAAGCCATTACCTTGTTCAAAGATACCTTTCTTAATATAGGGAACTCAAAGCCCCTTACCCTCCAAGTCTTTTATTTTTTTTCTCATTATGTTTCCTGGCTGCCAAGCTTGTGAGTGGATGGTGAACACTTGTGAAACCACTCCTCAAGTTGTTAATGGCTGTTGCAATATTTAGTGTCTGGAAGATGAAGTGTTCCACAGTCCTGTAACTCTAGGGCTTTTCAGTCTAGAGAGGAGGAGACTGGGGGATCTACTTAATGTCTATAAATACATGAGGCTGGGGGTCAAGAAGGCAGGGACAACCTCCTGACATTTGTGCCCTGTAACAGGATGAGGGGCAATGGATTCAAACTCAAGCATAGGAAGTTCTACCTGAACATGAGGAAGAACTTCTTTCCCATGAGGGTGACAGGCTCCCCAGAGAGGATGTGTCAAGACCTGTCTGAATGACTTTCTGAGTGACCTGTTCTAGCAGGGTCTTGGACTTGATCTTCAGAGGTCCCTTCTAGCCCCTGACATTCTATGATTCCAGGTTCAAAAGTCTTGGTGACTATTGGTGAGACACAGAGTGTGGGAAGAATGAGCTTGGATTATTCTTTGAAAAAATATTTAGCACTATTTAAGTGCTGTAGTTGTTATAAACAGGAGTTCTAATGCTATGTCTGTGTTTTCAGTTACGGGGATTAACACCTCTGCACATAGCTGTCTCCATTCCTGGGGCAGAGGGGGTCCAGATAACACAACACCTCTTGCATTCTGCCCCAGATCTGAACGCAAGGGCAGAAGATGGAAATGAAATATACACTCCAGACAAGGTATGTTGCTTTTAGAGCTCTTCTTTTTTCAGCTGTTGGAATTCAGGTTGCACAGGACCTCAGCAGGGAGTTGAGATTCCTGCCTGCTTGATTTCACGTGAAATCTTTGCATTCCTCTGAAAGAGCCTTTAAAAAAACCAAAACCAAACAAATAAAAAAAAGCAAAGCCACTTGAGGTCTATATATATAGTACTGGGCTGCAGTAAACATAGTCTTCTGGATTTGTTTTTTTAATCATGCCTTATATAAGACAGAGTTTAGATGTCTCTTGTGTGTAGTCCAGTACAAATGCCTGAAGATATGACTGCAGAAGCAGTTATGTCTGTGATGGGACTTGCTTGTTTTGTCCCTGTGGATGGGCTGGCCTAATCTTTTCTTTCCTTATTTCTCTTTTCCTTGAACTCAGGGTCTCTCTGCTAGATTCCTGCAGCACTTCTTGTGCCTCCAGGTTGCAGCTAGCAGCAGCTGTTTGGTAGCACAGCACATCTGAGAGTTGCCATTTTTTATGGTAATTCTCTACTGCTGATGGAGCTATGCTAGCAATACATGCTTTTTCTGGCATTTGTTACCTGAAAAATTACTTTAGGTTGGTGGTAACAAAATCATGTAATCACAAAACAGTTGAAAGATTGGAAGGGACCTCTGATGATTGTGTAGTACAACACCCCTGCTCAAAGCGGATCAATTATAGCAAGTTGCTCCAGATCAAGTCCAGTTGGTTCTTGAGTATCTTCAGAAGAGGAGACTCCACAGCTTCTCTGAGCAACCTGGTCTAGTGGCAATGCTAATCCTAATGCAGCCCAGGTCCTTTTTTAGAAGGCTTTTTTCCAGTCTGTACTGATGCCTGAAGTTATTCCTCCCCAGGTGCAGTGGGGGCATGCAGACATTTCCTTTTGTTTAATTTAATAAGATTCCTTTCTGCCCAATTCTGTAGCCTGTCCAGGTGCCTCTGAAGAGCAGCACAACTGTGTGGTGCATTAAACCACTCCTCCCAGTTTTGTTGTCTGTGTACTTGCTGAGTGTGCACTCCATCCCAGCAAGATAAGATGTTAAATAGCCTTGGTCCCAGGATCTGCCCCTTGGGTAAAGCACAGCTGGATTTTGTGCTGCTGACCACAACCCACTGTCCCCTTCACTGTCCAGTTTTCTTCAGCTTTTCTGAAGGAGGTTGATGATGACAGTGTTGAGAGCCTTGCTTAAGTTGAGGTAAACAACATCCACTGCTTCCCCATCTTTCACCTGGTCCTCTTGTACAAGGCTGTTTGTCAGGTATTTTTTCTCCTTTGCAAATACAGGCTGGCTGCTTCCAGTCACTTTCCTATCTGTGCTATGCCTGCAGGTGGCTTCTCAGAAGATTTTTTTTTCCATCAGTTTCCCATAGGCTGAGGTGAGGCTCAGCAGCTTGTAGTTCCCTGGTTCTTCCTTCTGTCTCCCAGAAATGCAAAGAAATTCCTCAGAAACCTCCTCTGCTTGCCATGGCCATTCAGAGGTAACCAGAAGGGCCTTGCAATGACATTGGCCAGCTCCCTGGCATACCACCATCTCTCAGTCACTTAAAAAAGGAGTTGGCTTACGTTACGAGACTGATAAAATGTCGTGACAAGGACTAAGGTGAATGTCTGCAAGACAGGAAGATTAGATGGCTCTGTCAGTTTGAATGTTAGTACTTTGTCCTTAAGTAGTAAACAGGACCACTTAATACCTATTTATCAACAGTACTTAGAGAATGCCCAGACCTAGTGTAAGCAAGATTTACCTTCTCAAATACTACTTCAATTTTTTATATTAATCTGGTAACCCTGTACTGATAGACTTTAAATGAATGACATGAGAATGAGCTTGACTCAAGTTAGGTCCTTTGTACTTCCCACTCCCTACACTGTGCTGTCTGGTCCAGTAAAATTTAGGAACATCGTCTCTCAAGTTTGCCTTCCTTAGACTTCTCCAGTGGTTTTATTAAACCTCTTAGCACGCATTGCAAAACAGTTGAGACCCAGATGTAGAGGAGAAAGCAGAAAAAGGGTGGCTGTTGTTTTTGTGGGGCTGAACAAGTCTCATCCATGATTGAGATCCAGACCCAGGGATAACCAGGCAGACTTATTTTCTGTTAACTTGTCTTTAAGCTGTGTTCTAAATGTGCATGTAATTTCACTTTGATTCCTCAGGCTCAGGCCATAGAAGCCAGCTGCACAGAAGGTGTCACATTTCAGCTGAAGAACACAGCTGGGTCACCACAAGAGTACTTTTCCTCCTATAGTGGTCCTGTCCCAGAGGAAGGTGGAAGGACTGCCCTGCATATTGCATGTGAAAGAGAGGACAACCACAAGGTAGGATTGTAGCCTCTGAGGCTCCACTCACAGAGAGTAGCTCTAAACTAATCTCAAATGACCCAACTTGGCAATGAAGACATTTCATCCCTCATTAGAGAACTGGTTGAATACCAGGAATAAACTAATTTTCTACTGAATTATTTGTGTTGTACTGATCAAAATGCTATTAGCACTTGAGGAAAAACATTTCTTAAATTTTGGAGTTCTGTTTGACAAGAAGAATTCTTTAAGTCAAGTTTCCTTTGGTTAATTTGTCATTAGCTTAATCACCTACAAGGCCAATTTGAAGTTGGACGGTCTTAGTTCTGGCAGGCAGTAACCTCTGTGCATTTGATTTTGTACTATAGTAACATTCTTCCAGCAGGCTTGGGATGCGTACATTTGGAGAAAGGCATTTGAGGGAGAAGAGCT